CCACCACTCACCACAGTCATGACCCGTCTTTGTACTCGCTCTGCCTCCTGCTACAGTGAATGAACTGTGAATGCTTTTGCTTTTACCTGTTTTTTTTTTTTTATCATTTTGCGGAATGTTTTTTATCTTAGTTTCTTGACACTTCAATTTCTCCTCGAGGCTAAACCAACAATCCAACAAACATCCACCCTTTCGCCCTTACAGATAGATCTCAAGGGACGTAACGACCTGCTAATCACGTGATCAGTTCGTCATGCTTGTGCTACCTCTATCACGTAGAAGTCTCTATGTACTGTTGCTCCCTGACTGCAGTACATTTCAGGATCGTTTTTTATTTTTGTTGTTGCTATTAATGGTGCAGGTGTGCATTGTGTACTGCGCTGGTCGTGGGGAAGTGAAACCTTCGTCTCATTCAATACCAACAGTCATAAAACACCAAGGAGAAGCAGCTGAAGCAATGTGATTTGTGGCTGACGAGATTTAGTCAAAGATTTCAGGCCATTCCAGGGTGTGCTGAGACCTCTTAGGAGACAGTCAATGAAAGCATAATGGCTTTTTTTTTAAGTGTGGGGTATCATAAATGAACAGTAAAGGTGTACTGAACACTGTACACCCCCTCATCTCTCACTCTGAGTAAATGCACATGTAGGATCTGCATACAATACTTACAGTATCTGAATATGAGCACCAAGGCTCAGTGTAGGTTTTGAGTACTTTCTCCTTTCACCGTCCTTGAATTTTCTTTGAACGGCCTCAATTGCAAAAAGCACCGCAGCATTTTTACTTGATTTTATTTTTGCTTGTGTTTGTTGAAGCGCTTTGTGATTTCTATCTTGAAATGTGCTATATAAATTAAGTTTTACTTACTTACACGGCTACAAGCTTCACCAAGTCCTGCCATAAGCGCACCGGGAAGCTCCGCTATAAACCGTGGCTTTAGGGGTCTCATTCATCCACTGCGAAGTCGCATAAATATAGTTACAAGCTCTAGAGGGTCATAAGCTTCCAGACCCTGCAGTGTGTAAACACTGTATTTAACAGATTTAAATGGTTCATCCAGCAGGTCCTGGTAGTCTGCTTCGTCCAACGGCTTTGTTTTTCTGTTTTGCTGCTCGCTTTTCTGTTCGGTCGTGATGCGTTTCACACTACAAGCTAAATGCTAACCCGTAAAGATGGCAACATTTGAAAAGCAGTGTCCAGACTTTGACATCGGTAAAAACTCTTGTGTAATTTTTCGCAAGTGCATATAGCAGCAGCAGCTAGTTGTACTTTCATTTCAGCTTCTGACAGGAAAGTTATAACCATTCTGCTGGGGGGAAATAAAGCATTATGTGAATTATTGTTGTGTATCAGATATCAGTCATTTGAACTAAATAAAACTTTTACTTAACTCTGATTTGTGTCCCACTCGGACCAGCTTGTAGCTCCTGAATCTGGTGAGAAAACTATTTCTTCAAACTAAGATTGTTGAAGAGCAAAAGGTAAGATGTTCTTTTTAAATAACTTTTCCACAGAACCCCACTTAAAAAACTATCATAATTATAATATTTTGTAAACTAAGTAAACAGCCTGGTGGTGACCCTATAATAATCTAAAACTTAAAAAAAAAGGGGCAGTTGGCATTCTTTGATACTTGTGTCAAAGTGACAAAATTTTACACGTTTTTTTAAACCAGTACTACCAAGACAATTCATGTCATGGTCTTTATGTTTGAGGTGGTAGCACTAATCAGATATGTTGGGAAGCCATGACCAGTTCTACCTGAGGCTGCTGCTGGTCACCATGAGGTGGGACTCTGTGGTCCTGAAGATGTTGTGGATGGCCCGAGCAGCCAGCACCTGCCTCATGGCTTCATAGATCACTTCCTGATTGTTCCCACAGCGGACGGCCATAGAGCCCTGGAAGCGCACGATGAATACCTGCTGCAGGAGAGAATCTACAGAGACACAACAACATCAGGCACCTACAAGACCAATCAGCAGCAAACTGAGTGACGAGCGTGACGTCAAAGCGATCAAGGTCAACGATTAAAAACAAGGTGTTTAATCATACATTAATAACACAAACTCATATTTAAGTGCATTTAGAACAGAAAAATGGTTACCATCATTCTCTGTTGTACATTCATCCGTTTCTCCAAATGGATTTGTGCGTCTGAAATGAGGCAAAAACATGCACAAAAAAACTTAATAAACCCCAGTGTTGCTTATTAGGAGGAGTCCAGCTTCCTAGAAATTATATAACACACTCCATGTGGGCAACATTTGTGAAATTAACATCATCCACCAGCGTTTCATCCTGCCTGCCTCTTCCTGGTTTAGTTGCTCTCTCACCTCCCCCCAGATCTGTTCTGGTCCTGAAACTCCGACGCTGGCAGCATGATGTCGAACTGAATAGGCGTTCCAGGAGCTATCAGGTCCCCTGGTTCCGGAGCAGCTCCAGTTTTCTGGGAATCACTACCAGAAGCATGAACACCTCCTGGCTTTGCTCTGCAGGGATATAATGCAAAATGAGAACAAGCTTCGAGGAGAAAATATATTCATAGATCTCCAAAACAACCACAGGGCAATTAGGACAAACATGAATAAATGGGAGCCTGCTTCAGTCCTGATCTGTACTGGCCACAAAATGATGGACTCCTATATTAATAATGCACTGAATGACTGTGAGGAAAACATCTAATCTATGAAAGTAATAAAAATAAGGATAATTTCTGATATTTTGTTTTTCATCTTCTTCAAGAACTTTATTGTGAATTTATGCCATTATTACTTTAAAAGTAATAATAATGCTTGGTCTGAGAGCTCTGTTTCTGCAGAGTAAAACCTCCATGTTCAGAGAGTGTGTATTAAAAATGATGAGCACTAAACAGAGTCTCTGACCTGTCAGGGTTGGGCGAGCCTTCTTGTCTTTTCTCAAAGCTGGTGATGGGAGTGACTGCCTGGATGGCAGTTTGGTTCAATCGGATGGCCACAGCCTAACAGACAAAAGAGTAATTCTAATTTACTTTTCTTTTGAACATATTTTGGGTATAAAAAAGGGGCAGGTATAAGGTTTATTCTTCTGCTGCTGCCTTTCATTTTATTTGATTTTATTTTGATTGCATGTTTTTTTGCTCTTTGTTATTTTATGTTACAAATGAAATTAATAAATTTCTAAATAAAATAAAAATAAATAAAAAAAGAGGTAACCAACACAAGGTCCCTTCTTTAGTTAAAAGGGAAAATAAAACAGAGTAGAAGTAGAGACTTTTACAAAAAAAAAAAAAAAAAGAAACACAAAACATGCTTAGAGAGGGAACTTGTATCTGTAGAGTTCTACCTAATCAGTTAACTGAATAACCTGCTGCAGGTTTGAACATTTTATTATCGTTACCACCTGCCTCCAAAAGGCAAAAGTGGATGATAATGTTTGGAGTCTGTGCGCCTGTTAATGGATGTGCTCACTGTGCTGAACACAGACCGTTGATGAGGAGGACAGTTTATAAAAATGAATTAAACCAGGAAATTTGGTGTCATTCATGGATCAGATCTGTTGTGAAGTTAAGCTCCTTGTTAGAGAACATTAAGTGGTGCAGAGAGGACTGAAACACTGAAGAGTTAAATAGTAAAATGTGTCACATTAAGGTCACCTAATGAAGTTTATACTGCATTTTAAGTTTATCCTGAAATTTCCCTCGAAAGCCAAATATCCCTAACTTTTAGTGAGTGGTGTCTGTTTCTTTTTGTTCCACTTGTGAAAGCGTGGGTAGTTTTACCTCAGGGTTGTCTGTCAGGTAGATCTGTCTAGAGATGTTGTTCACTGTGCAGATCCACTGAAAAACAAAAACACACTTCCATATTAGGCCTGCATGCCGTTCCAGGATGGTTAACCCTGAAATAACGTGATGACAGCAGCTGAGACAGACCACTCAGCTGCGTCGGAGCAAAAACAAAGATAAAAACCACACAAGTGGAGGAGGCACAACAGATTCTTCATTGTTTTATTGTGGATACTTTCTGATCAAACACACTTCCTTTTTTTCACCAACCTCTTCATACTCCTTTTTGCTCTCAGCTTGTAGAATCATTGACCTGGAGACGTGAAAGACGGTGCACGGATTAAAATATAAACACTTTTTTGTGCAAGTGTGTGGTAAATTGTTTGATGTTGGGGAGAAAAACAAAAAGAAACATACGTTTTTCCTGAAGGGGAGGTGATCTGAAAACAGTAGCGTCTGTCCTCACACTCCACAGCCATGACGGAGCTGTTGTCCAGGTCCAGCACCATGCCCCCAGCCACGGCCCCCCGAGGCTGGCACATCAGGTTCCCCCCCTGGGTGAAGAAGAAGAGTCGATCCCAGGCTGTGGTCACCAGACCTGTTTTACTGGAGAAGAAGAAAAAACAGCAATAAAAAATTTGTGGCACAAGATGTAAAGCTGAGTAAATAAAGAGTTAAAGGCATACAGACCACCTGCCTTTCATACCAGAGGTTTATACTAAGATCATGTTACTAATCATGCTGAAATCTAAATAGTTGACCAAATTTTAAACAATGTCATTGCACAATTTGAACAAAGGGTTGGGTAGCAGCAATGACTTACACACCAAGCTCAATGTCTGGTAAACTGGCTGAGTTAAAGGGGTCCCCGATTAGTTGTAACATTAGACTGTATTTGATAAACATTTATTTGAACTGTAAAATAAAGACTGTAAAAATACTGGGCTGTTTAGTTTTGTAAATTTTTAAAATATATATTTTAACACAGATGGGGCCATTTCATTTACACGCAAAGCAGTCTGGGTAAATGATGACGTGGATAGGTCCTCGGTGTGAGCGAGCTATATCCACCCTGAAGGTTAATTTTGGACAATATCTGACGACTGGCTCTTTTAAATGAAACCAGAGAGCGTTGACAGAGAGGAGAAAGTAGAAATGACTCAGCCTGTAACTGAAAATATGGATGGAGGACAACAGAGCTGCTTCATGGAAGAAGAACCTCAGCTTAGCCTGTTAGTCTTTGCATTAGTGCTGACGCTATTATTGCCTTATATATAATTGCTCAGCATTAGCGCGACAAACTAACAAGCTAAACTGAGGTCCTCCATCCACATTTTCAGTTGCAGGTTGAGTCATTTTTGCGTTCCCCTCTCTGTCATGTGGATGGAGGACCTCAGTGGTGAGAGGAGAATGTGTAGCGCTGAGCTAATACATATATATGGTGATAGCGTCGGGGCTAACACTAAAGCTAACAGGCTAAGCCGGGTTCTTTTTTTAATCACTTCAGTAGAAAAAATAACAATATTAGTTTCTTAACTTCTTCATCATCGGCGTTTTTTTTTAAGCGCAAAGACTAACAGGCTAAGCTGAGGTTCTTCTTCCATGAAGCAGCTCTGTTGTCCTCCATCTATATTTTCAGTTACAGGCTGAGTCATTTCTACCTTCTCCTCTCTGTCAACGCTCTCTGGTTTCATTTAAAAGAGTCGATCATCAGATATTGTCCAAGATTAACTTCAGGGTGGATATAGCTCGCTAGCAGCCTTGTATTACGGTTAAAATATATGTTTATCAAATAAAGTCTAATGTTACAACTAATCATGGATCCCTTTAAAGTGATTTCTGTGTTTTTAAAACTCCGTTAGCTGTAGCCTCTTTCATTAGATAGATCCGCAAAATCGCCACACAGACCAGTCCGGCTTTAAGCTCCCTCGGGTCATTCATAAAGTCACAGGAGAAGCCGGCCAGGTCCCGCTCACATGTACACATTCAGAAATGAACCCAGCTGGAAGTGCTGGCTGAAGTGGCCAAAAAAAATCAAACAAAATAAACTTACTTTAGCAATCCTGTAGTTCAATATTTTTTAAACTAACTACAAAGTTGCTGTTCTGTGTCATCTTTAATAATCCCTCTGTTATAAATCTGTTGATTAATCCTGTGGTCACTGTTTCTTGTATGAAAAAAAAAAAATCCCGAATTAACTAATTTTGGTGATCCTGTGGTTCAACATTTTTTAAAACTAACCACAAAGTTGCTGTTTTGTGTAGTTTTTAATATTCCCTTGATAATAAATCAGTTTGTTGATTAATCCTGCGGTCCCTCATTGGTCATCAGCTCATTATCATTTTCTGAGAGCTGAACTGTGGGTTGTTTTTTCACACGTCGGTCTGCCTGGCTTGAGCCCTGCTCTGATACTACCTCGCTTGGGGGCTCAGAGGGGTAGGGCTCATTTTGCTCACCTTTCCACCTTCGTGTTTTTTCTGAATGCTCGTCGGAGGACAGAACACACGTCAGTCCCAGACTGAGCCGTCTTATGAATGAGTAGCCATTTTGAACTGGCTGTAAAATACCTTTCTGTTAGTTTCATTCAAACTCATTCAGTGGTTTGTGAGATATTTTGCCAAGACAGACAAGAGAAAAAACATTACCTGCCTTTCGACCTTCAGCGGTCTACTATAATCTTGTTTTCTTACAGCCACTGACATCAAAATAATAAAATGCATCATCTTTCACAGCCTTTCGGAGCCACTGAGTGGCACAAATGAATTGCAAATATCCCTTGACCTCACTCAGGCTCATACTGAGTAATAAACTTACTTCCTGATGTTCAGGTAGCCAGCCTTCTGAATAAGTGTGCGGTTAAAAGAGTCCGTGTCCTTATCCGGCATGTAGACAGTGTCTTCCACTGACAGAAGCTCTTTCTGTGACGTACGCATGGCTTCTGCCTCCACGTCCAGCTGGGCCTGGATACTGAACAGAAATAAAAAAGATTTTAACAAAATCTGTTCAAATTTACAAGAAGAAACAACCAGTCCTTGAGGGAGTGCATATCTCCTGCCACCTTGCAAATTTTAGCTCTATTTTTTGTAAAACAGGCTGATCTGTAGACATTTTCTTTTTGTTTTTTTGCTAAGATCGACCAGCTGTGGTAGGCAGCCATCTTGAATTGGGCTAATTCCAGAAGTTAATGTGTTCTAGACGTACACCTAATGACTACTTTTAGAGAGTTTCATTAAAATATTTTGTGTGTAATACACATGAAGTGAAAGTTTCTTACTTTTGAGTCATTTTAGACACAGAGGAGAGAAAAGTTTCCATCTTCTTTGAAACCAGCTCAATGCCCTTCTTAAAGAAGCTAATCTGTAAAATGAGAATTGTAGTTAAATCTATTAGTCACTTTATTATGTACACCTACTCAATTACTTCACACATCACATGGGAACAGCAGTTCCTGAAATACTCAGACCAGCCTGACACCAACAACCATGTTGAGGAAGAAATGCTCTTTTCCCTGTTCTGATGTTAGACACCTAAATGAACTGACTTCATGCCATATGACTGGCTGATTAACCTTTTGTGTTAATAAGCAACACAACAGGTGGACCTCATAAAGTGGCTGGTGTGTGTATTTGCTTCTATATGATTAAATTAAAAATATGTGGCTCGTCACATCAAATAGAGGATTAAGTTGCAAAGTGGTGTGTGCTGCATTGGTTAAAACATTTATTGTATTGCTATTTTGTCACAATATAATAAATAAATATTTTAATTATAAAAACTTAGGATGAAATTTAGCCTTAAAGAATATATTTTGAAGCACTTTTTGGAGAAGTATCAACAAAAAAAGGTGATTTGAGCAGAAAAGAATCAACGTTTGTGTCATTTTCCCTGCGAGCAAATCTTTTTTTTTCTTTTGCAGCTGGGAAATTTTAATATCCAAATATCGTTTAAGGTTTTCTATTTAAAATGATTAGAATAACCTAAACATATGGACTGCCGTTTTAGTGAAAACACAATAAATAAATAAATAAATAAATAAATGTAATTAATAAAGTTTTAATACATATTCCATCAAATACCTAAATGTCCCCATGAAATAAAACAAAATTAATATATTTTAATACATTTTTTAGCATCTTTATATTATTTATATATTTCTAAAACCAAATTTTAATTTATTTATTTATTTATTTATTTATTTATTTATTTATTTATTTATTTATTTATTGTGTTTTGACTAAAACGGCAGTCCATATAAACATAAGACTTCAGAGCTAATATCATTGGGCTATCCTGATAAGGAAGAGAAATCAAGACATCTCTGGAACCCCTCATGATATCAGGATGACCCTGGTATCCAAATGTAGCTTAAAAAAAACAGGAATCTGATGGTGTGCTTGGGTCTTTTTGACCAAAACTGACCTAATCCTCAATTTGATGTGATGGGTCACATATTTTTTATACTACTCTTTTAACCTGTTTTATTAGAAAAACACATGACCAAACAAATAAAAAGCATCAAGAAGCAGCTAGTTTTATAAGACCAACAATACAAATCCAAACATTTTGTTAGAAAGAATTAGCATGTATTAGAAAGTTTTTCCCCTTAATAAGAATACAGAGTTGTGAAAAATAGTAAAGTTACTCTTTTCTTCCCATTAATCACTAATTATTTCAGTTTTAACTAGATTTTACACAAAAAGAAAAAAAAGCTTTTTTAAGAGCATTCCTTGTCCTTTGTGAAATAAATCAGTTTATCTGAGTCAACAGCTTCCACTCTCACTGAGTTTGAAAGCTCTAAGATCGGGCACGGTGCAACGGTCAGAAGCAGCTTAGTACCTGAGCCTGAGTGTAGCCGAGCATTGGTTCGAGCATAGCCACTCTCTTCCTGTACTGCAGGGCATTGAGGGCACAGTAATACTGCAGAGATGCCTGGTGTTGCTTCCTCCTGGTGTACGCCACCTCCTTCACCAAGTCGGCTTTCAGCTGTCCACACAGGAGAGGGTTGAGCATGCAAATACACACTGCACACGTGCCCACAAGGACTCACTGTCAGGGTCTGCTCAAGGCATGCAAACGCAACACGCTCTCTGGTATGCAAATGAGCAAAAAGCTTGTATTTCTTTGGTTCATTCAAAGAGTCGTGCTACCATGCTGAATAGATGCAAAGTCTATACTGGAACACTTAGAGCTGTAAGAGCACGCTCGTGTCAGGCAGGAGAAAGCTGTTTACTTTCATATCATATTGTTTCTAATACTTATAAAAACCCTCACTGCATTACCAGGAGCTCTGATGTAACGTGAGGCTTTTAACAGCTTCTCACTGATGAAGAAAAACCCTCCAACAGAAGCTGAAGCAGCACTCTGCAGATATACTACCTTCTCGTTCTCCTTCTTCTTGGGCAATCGACTGTATTTTACCATAGCTGCCTCGTGCTCTGAACAGCGGAAGAGAAACAACAGGAGTATTAAATAACAAATAGAAAAAAGCACTTTCTGTAAAAATGAAATGGAAATGCTGAGGGCTGAATGAATTTGTTGAAATTTGCTGAAGAAGCTATAAATGAGTTGATGAAACTAAAGAAAATATAACTAAAACCAACAAAAGTAGAGTAAAACTAAGTGACACTAAATATAATAATAGGTTAGCTAAAAGCTAAAATTAGCTAGGAAAAATAAAAAAAATACAGTAGCTAGGGGCTAAAAGTAGCAAGAAGTTGGCTAAAAGCTAAAAAAAACTGGTTAGATAAAGCTACCACAATACTAGCTAAAAGCTAAATGTGGCTACAAGTCACAGAATGGTATTGAGGCAAAAATTAGTAAAATATTAGGCAAATGTTTAGCCAAAATCTAAAAGTAATATAAGAAGACAAAAATTAATGTTTGAAGGAATTGAAGAGATCCAATGTATTTCCACTGGAAAAATATTTTTAATTTGAGTTACAATATTTTTAAAAGTTTGAAAATTACAAGTCATATTTCCCATCTTCCAAATGAACGTTTTATGGTATGAATGGCTAAAGTAGCAAACAGTCTACACAGAAGTAGTTAAAATACAACAAATGTACAGACAAATGAAAAACAAAGTGAAAATTAGTTGTTTAAATGTTGAATTATTCACATAAATATAAACACACTACTTGTAATTATTACTAAAGCTTGCCAAACTTACCATCAGTGGCAATGCTAAATATTTCCTTCAAGGTGCTGATCTCTGCAAAGTTCAGTTACATCGTCAACAATCCAGGCTAAATATTTTACATTCTTCTGTGTGTGTATGCTTTTTATACTTCACTACCTGTGAGGTCCTTCTCTCTGAACTGGATCAGGGGAAACACCATGCTGTCAGCCATCTGACTGGCTAAATCAGAGTGGATCGAGTTGAGCTACGGACACAAGTGGAAGATGAATCTTAGCCAAACATCTGAAAGATCTCAGTTTATGTTTACAGTAACACTTTGGAAAATAACGCTTTTAATGATAGGCCAAAGGATTTTGCATTCGTGGCAACCCTCTGTGGGCAGACAAACTTCAACTTGTTTTAGGTGCAGGATGGAGTTCGGCATTTAGAAATCCAAAATTCTCATTAAAATATCTGCTCCTTAACTAGCAATTAAGATTTCCCTTTGAATAAAAACCTAATGTAAACTTCCATAGCCCCCACCCCCCACCTATAGTCTGAATTTTAAATTATGATTTAATTAATTATTTTTTTTATGTATTCTTACCGAATTATGACCAACTCTTATTGTCTTTCCCACAGAATTAGATTTTCTACCATGTAAAACCACATTTAAATTACCCTTCAAAACCTGCCAGGGAGTGAGAAGATCCCAGTTTTGTCCAGTGGTCTATGATAAGGAGGTGAATAATGCCTCACTTCAGCTGTGAAACACTCACACTTTACTTGAGAGGAGAAAACATGAAGAAGAAAATATAATTTTTCTTATTCACAGGATTCAGTGGTGTGTGAGTAAACCCTGCTGTTATTCCTCATGCTTTTTATCAAGCCTCACGCCTGAGTCTAACCAACAAACATGCTGTTTGAATCTCACTCTGCTGAATCTGAATGGTTTAGCAAATGCTAAAGTGCACAAGGTTAGATCCAGAAGTCTAATTCTATCTTTAATATGAACTTTTGATCATAACGTGCAGAATGATAATCCTGACTGGGCAGACTCCTGAACCCCTGTGGCTGACGGGAATGGGCCCACCTGTTTTATCTATAAATATGAGCTCCATCTGCCCATTCATCCCGCCTCTGTTCAACCATCCAACAAAACACACCTTCATCCCAACGGTTTTTAAATCTGGAATACTGGAGGTGCAAGTGTGTAGAGATTTTTAGAAAAAAATTTAATAAAAGGGCTCACCTCTCCCACAGTTTTTGCAAAGTTCTGCAGTGTGCTGATTACTTCTTCATCACCTTTTCCCAGGGCAAAATTCTACACAAAAAGAAGCAGAAGATTAGTTTAAAATATAAAACTTCCAAAGATTTGATGTAAATCCAGCCTAAAGAGGGGAAATGAAAATAGGCTGGATTTCTGGTATGATGTTTCATGTGACAAGCTCAAACATGCTCATAAATAAATAAGGTCCTGATTTATTAAAAGTTTGTGTGCAAAAAGGGTTGCAAACTTGATAATGTTTACAAAGCTGATCTATTAACCGTGTGCACCGAGGATCACGTCTGTCAAACGACCAAAAAAGATGACGCAATCCATTTAGCATGTTTGCCTTCATGAATGTGATGGTTAGCTGAATGCGCAAAATACCTGGAGGAGGATAGCACGCGCTATTTGATTTATTAAAACTGAAACTGTTGCTGTTTTTGGATCTATATTCAGCACTTTTGAAAATCAGGTGCAAACTGGCTGCAGTCATTGTACCTGCCCTGCCCCATCCAAACCCCCTCCCCCCATTCACAGGTAAACATGCAACATGTATGTTGGAGGCAGTCATAAATAAAAACCATTTGGAAAAAAACCCTTGCAGTGCAGCATTGTCTTGCGCCTGGATCATTTGCCTCCTCTTTCAAGCATTATTTCTGCATGCAATCATCACCTGCACCACCGCCCACTAATAGCATGTGCATTTTTTTAGTTTGCATACACAGTTTAGCCCTTTTATTTGGGATCTTAGTAAATCAGGCCCTGATGAGTTTTACTGCTGGTTTAAAATGTCTCAAATAAACATTTCTTGCTGATCAGTACAGACTGCTTTTAATCCAATCCTCTCTGCAAATAATTTAGTCCAATGACAAGATTTGTTCGAAGATAATGCAGGATTTTGTTTTTATGTGCAGAGTTTAATTTTTGTCATTCATTTTTTCCAAATATTTCACAAGCAACATTGATATTTGGAAAAAGTCGCATTATTATTATTATTATTATTATTATTAATAATAATAAATTATCAAACAAATATTTGTAATTATGAATAAACTAAGTTACAAAAATAATTCTGCTTCTTTATCAGTCAGACTGATTAAAAATGAACAACACTTGTCGGACCGCTCCCTTCAGGTGGGCGGGGACCAGCAGAAACTCAGAATTTTATTGAGAAATCCTTTCAGTGGGCAGGTTCAGTTCAGAGTCTATTTCAATGGTGACAAACTCAGACTTAAACTACCTCTTTCTCTGCAACAGAACACTCAAATTTCTCTAAATTCATGGTTAACTTATTCAGAGTTTTCACATTACTCCTTTTCTGCACAGCCTTTTCAAGTATTTCAACAACACTAGATATATGAGCACATTGATGATAGTCAATCTTATTTACGTTTTAAAATCTACTTTTCATTTTAGTCATTTCATTTAACAACACGTGTTAAACAATCAGGAAGTTTTCAGTTTTCCATTTTGCCTTTATTAGAAGTTTAACGCCACTGAAAAAAGGTGCCATTACACCATGGCCCCCTAGAGTTTAAATACAGTTGTATATAATTAGATGATGACCATCTTACTTTCTTCTCATAATCCAGAAGTTGCTGCGAGAGCTGCTCTGTGGCCAATCCCATTTCACTCTGTTGGAAATAGAAAGCAAAAAAGAAGAACATGTTAAAAAAGGTTAATTACAAGAACTGTGCTTCCAGCTTCCTGTGTGTTTCTATTAGAGAATCATGATTCCAATGAGAACTCTTCTAAAAGGTAAAAGAGCAATCAGTACCAAAACAAGTCAGTTGTAACAATGAACTTTAGTTATGCAAGCATGACTTATATTTTCTAACAAAACTGAAAAAAATGATTTATTTCAACTTTTTATTAGGAAAAACGGGTTCAAATTAATTTCCGAACTAATCCCAAAGCTACAGTGAGTTTATGTGATGCTGACTGAGAGCCTAAGATATTTGTCTGATAATCAATCAAGTTAAATAAACTTTACTTAAGAGGAAAAACAAAACAAGACAAGAGAGCAATCGCTTCATCTGATTTTGTATTTGGACACATCTATTTCACAATGACTCCCCGGTGCTGACCTGGGCGTGAACACTCTCTCTTGGTGTTGTGTTGATTTAGTACCTGAGCTCCAAACACCCGCTGCAACGTCTGCAGCAGCTGATTGGTGTAGTCCGTCAGCATCCCAGAGTCCTCCTCAAACACGCTCAGCAGAGAGCGAGTCTGTGGGACAAAAACAAGTTGGGCAGATTCTTCACTTCACAAGTTTCTACGTTTATTCATCACTAGGGTTGGGCGATACTGGCAAAAATATTTCATTTTATTTTACCAGGCAAATCCCAGTAAGACTGCAGATCTCAAAAATTCATCAAGATGACTTGAGGCATTCAGCCGTTAATGATTAATATGACGATAATAGATGACAACTGCACTAGCATGTTTCTGACTCTGAATCAGTTACTGCCTTCTAAAATTATATTTACAAATCAGTCAAACTAACGTCTTTATTTTAACAGGTTAAACTACTAAGCTGTGAATTTATTCCCACTATTTCCACAATGTTGAGTGGCAGCAAATCTTTAGTATCACAGTATGCCACAGGCAACATATGCACTTGTCAGTGAGCGAGTCGCACACAAAAACACATCATTATCTGGCACTAATTGCAAAATGTCAAATATTAATTGTTGACAGTTTTTCTCATTATTAATTGCACACAACACAATTTTGCCCAACCCTGTTAAAAACAGACTTTTTAAAGATTTGGATTTCAATGTTTCCCCTAGGAAATTGGTCTTGGTGGGGG